AAAAAAAAAAAAAAGGCCATTTTAACTGACCTAATTTAAAAAGTACACCCGTAACTCTCCGTCTCTCTGGGCTCTCGGAATATCGGGCGAGCCCTAGATATGCCATTCTAATTCTCTCCTCGGTCTCTCTTGGCTCTCGGAATATCAGGCGTGGCTTCAACCAGTCCTCAGTTGTAAAGAGATAGGATCAATTTTGGAACGTTCTTCTCCATTGTTCCTATAAAAAGCTTTTCTTCGTCGGAATTAATCTAAAAATTGGGGGAGAGGCAAAAGGAGGCACATTCATCACTTCTTGGAACCAATTCCTGTGTAACAGCGAGTTCTAGTCAACCTCTTCATCACAGTTGGAAGGTTATATCATATTTTTAATAGTGTAAAACGGGCTTTGTATGTTGAAATCTGATCTTTGTGAATGACTTAATTTCAAATCAACTCATTATTTATTTAGTTTTCAAAATTGTTGTTTCTTGATGGTAATCTTCCTCTATGAACAGCTATTTTTTCGACAACTTTTGTCTTACCCCAGGTCGCTCCGTTTGTGGAGAATTTTTCGATTTGAATCGAACTTACCCGATATTTTCTTATTTCAGCAAAGCAATGACTCGAAAACAGAAAAAAAGGGTCAATTTTATAGGGAAAAAACCCCGGCCACCAGGAGGCCAAGGATTCAATCGGCTCCTTCGTTGGCGCATCGAGTCAAGCAAAAATGAATGCGCTTCCGTCGATCGATTAGCTGTCTATCTTCGCTCCACCTACCCAGAATATACCCGCCACAAGCTCGAACCTTTCACAAAAGGGGTTCAACAAATACTTGAACAAATGGGTGATCATACTAATAAAGAATATGATGATGAAAGGACCCCTCCGAGAAGAAAGAGGGCAAAGGAAGTTGAGGAAGCTGAAGAGAAATTGCGACTCATTGAAGAGAAGCATATTGGAAAGAGGACCGCGAGAATTAATGATGATTTTGAAAATGGTGCTGGCTCGACATCTTCAATGACGTCAGCTGCTAGCGACGGTGCTTCGGAATCTGAATCAGATAACTTATCGGAGGAAGTTATTTCGACTAAAGATGCTATTTATGAGGAAAAATTTGAACCCAAGTTTGATTTGATAAAGTCCTTGCTGCGTGACAATTACATTGAAAAATCAAAGAAAATGGGAAAAGAGGGAGAAAATAAGGTGGTTGTTAATAACATGGACAAGGAGGTAAATTTGATGAACAAGGGGCATAAAACTGGAAATGAATCTGAGTTGGTGAAAATTAGAGGTGATGGTTTAATTATGATCAATAACAAAAATAATTGCATCAAGGAAAATAACATCGATGGGCCATTGTTCAATGATTTGGGGGGGATGAGTGAAGTGTTGGAGGAGTTAAAAAAAGATTTGATTATGCCATTTTACAATCCCTATCTGCCACGAAACTTTGGTGTGAAACCGATGTCAGGGATCTTGTTGCATGGCCCACCTGGGTGTGGGAAAACCAAGCTAGCCAATGCCATTGCCAATGAGGCCGGCGTTCCCTTTTATAGGATCTGTGCTACTGAATTGGTGTCTGGAATTTCAGGTATGATGGTTTCTTGTTTCTCTTTGTTATATTCATGAGAATTTTTTAATCATAAATCTTCTTAGTGTTAATGACTTCACTAGTAGTGATGACAAGGTAGGCATAGAACTGTGTTTGTAAGATTTTTATTTTTTATTTTTTTTTATTTTTTTTTATCTTGTCCTCCTATTTGTTGTTAGCGTGACAATTGGACTAATTTCCCTTTTTGTCTATTTCATGTGGGGATGGGTTTGATTATTTACACAATTTTGAAGCTTGCTGAGAGGCTTTATTTGTTGAATGTTTTAGGTACATCAGAAGAAAATATCAGAGAGCTATTTTCTCAAGCCCACAGGACAGCACCATCCATTGTGTTCATAGATGAGATTGATGCGATTGCTACTAAACGGGATATCTCTAATAGGGTAATGGAGCAACGTATTGTCCTACAACTAATGTCATGCATGGACGAGTCATCAAGAATTGTCAAACCCATAAATGGAAGTGGAACTGCTGAGAATTATGATTGCATGCCTTGGTATGTACTCGTTATTGGAGCAACAAATAGGCTTGATTCTATTGATCCTGCATTGAGGAGGCCTGGACGGTTTGACCGTGAGATTTACATAGGTGTCCCGGACGAAAGTGCAAGGGTTGATATTTTGTCCGTTATTTTTCAAAATCTTAAAGTAGAAGGTGCTTTTGATCTTCTGAAGATAGCCAAGTCCACTGCAGGGTTCGTTGGAGCTGACTTGGCAGCACTTGTAAACAAGGCTGGCTATCTAGCAATGAATCGGTTAATATGCCATCTAAGGTCCGAGGTTTCTACAAAGTCTGTAGAAGGTGAGCATGTTGAAGAATGGTGGAGACAACGTTGGCCAGTTGAAGAAATAAAAAAGTTCGGCATCACAATGGCTGATATTGAGGTAACATCGCAATTCCTACCTCTATTCTTATACGTTGTTATCAAACTGGATTTTGTTTGTTTAGTTATCATTTACACTTTGCCTGGTTCTTTAATTAATGTGTATTATTTTTGGTTATGTGGTTCAAAATTCCTAGTATAAGTCTATTTTTTTCTTGATCATGGACGGACATTGATGTTGATTTGGTCATTGGTCTTGCAACAGTTGTGCCTGATACATTTTTTCATGAGCTATATTTTGGTTCATCTTTGCTTAGGGAATTTGTAGCTTCCCTATTTCTAGAATATAGATTTGATGTCTTGTTGGAACACTTCAGTCATGTTAGTACGTATCTAGTGTAAATAGGTTTGCAGCTTGGCTTCTAGCAAAATCTACTTTATGCTTCCTTGTAATGTTAATTCTATATACTTATCGTGGGAAAGCATTTGTCTGTACTTTAGAGCCATCGTTGTTCAGTCCTTTTTCCTTTTTCTTATTGTTTTTGATTCCCTCCTCCTTTCCTTTCGGTTTCTGATTTACTGTGTTCTATGTGATCTCCCCCAACCCATTTTCATCATTTCAATTAGTTGCTAATCACAACATTTTTGTAGGAAGCTGCTAAAACAGTTCAACCCTCCTTAACAAGAGAAGGATTTTCAGCAATTCCAAGCGTGAAATGGGAGGATGTTGGTGGTCTTCAATCAATCAGAGATATGTTTGAATGGGAAATAATTCGGCGGATTAAGAATCCCAAATGTTATGAGGTGATTTTTACGTTTTATTTCATTTAATAATTGATGATTGGGTTATTCTAATGGATTTTGAGATAAGGACAAAAAAATTCAGGGCTTATTTTGGTTTCATTATAATTTGCTTATAATTTAAAGTCAGAGTTGAACATTAATTTTAATCACGTTACAGTTACTACCTACTTATTATCCACACATTTCATTGGACCTATTACTCATCTTCCTTATAATCACATTATAATTTTTCCCAAACAAGGTGTTAATATGATGCAACCTTTTTCATTTGATATGAATACGATCTTACATGGTTGTTTTTCATGGTGCCACCTTGTCACAGCTTGCATTACATATTTACATGTTCTAATCAAACTTCTAAGGTGTGTATTTAAATCTAATAAAAAAAATTTCTTTAAGTTCAGGTGCAATGCTTACTGAAAATTTCTCCCTCTATAATGCTAAGAATGAATGGACACATGCTTCGAAATCCTTCACGGTTGATTGGCATCCCTTTGCATATGTATTAGATTATGGGCACTTTCAACTCAGTCACTTCCATTTTGAGCAGTTATTATCTCTTTCTTTCCTTTAATTCTTTGCTATGTAGACATTGTTTTCGAGAACTCATCCACTTCTACTATGCTAGTTGTATATCCCAAGTTTAAGGTTTTGAGATTAAGTGGCTGATTTTCAGGGATTGGGGGCGGATTTAGAGGCAGGAATTTTGCTTTATGGTCCTCCAGGCTGTGGGAAAACATTAATTGCCAAAGCAGTTGCTAGCGAAGCAGGAGCAAATTTCATTCATATTAAGGTTGAAAATTTTTGCTATCTCGTAAGTTTTTGTTTTCTAATAATTAGTTCCATTGCTCTCTTACATTTTCTGTTGTCTATCAAGGGCCCTGAACTTCTCAATAAATATGTCGGTGAAAGTGAGTTAGCTGTTCGGACATTATTCAGCCGTGCAAGGACATGTTCTCCGTGCATTCTTTTTTTTGATGAGGTGCATCTTTTCTATTTCTTCCTCTTATTTCTTGACAACTTTTCATCTCTTATAATTTGGTTTTATATTTGGTTAGACCCAAGTTATGCTTTTGTAAATTAGCCCCTGTTTCTCTCCTATTAAGTTCCATTACATTACATTACATTTTTCTCTCTCCTATTTTCAACTACACAATCTTCCATAAAATAATATTACACGTAAATCGAAAAAATTTCCTTCTTTCTCACCCACTCATTAAAAAAATAATAATAATAAATAAATAAATATTTCACCCATTTTCATTTCTAGAAAATGGGGGCCAAACGGGGACTTAGTGTGCAGTAATAAGATTCCATTGTTGTGACTTTGTGTTAAAGATTATTCCATCATCAATCTCATTATGGATGTTGACAAATCAAAATTTGACACAAACCTTGACAATGCAATAAACAGAGGATCTACTCTGGCCTTGAAACTCATAGTTTTATTTATGACTTCAATGAGAGTGTTAGGAGCAATCATAAACAACAAAATCTGTCAAGGATGGTTTGCAATTGTACATACACCTTCTTCACACAGCTAGCTAGAAGCTACTATGCTCTCCTTCCATTTAGGGGTTTTAAAAGTTCCTTGATAACTTATAACTAATCGGCCTACACAGAATTTTAGGTATACTGTGTGTAATTAACCAAAAAGGGTGATTAATAACATTCTGCGGTGAACTTGGTGGAAACTGGAATTGTGTTGATGTTGTTCAACATCTTCTCAGGTGGATGCTTTGACAACCAGACGCGGTCAAGAAGGGGGAGGGGTTGCTGAGCAGCTCTTGGGTCAGGTTTGTAAAAATGTCTCGTTAAATGCTTTCTTGCCTAATTATATCCTCCCCTATTGTGTATATGACTAGATATAGAACTGAATGCAAAGCCATATCACTGCAGCTGCTGATAGAGCTAGATGGTGCAGATCAGCGAAAGGGTGTTTATGTAATTGGTGCCACGAATAGGTACAGATTGTTATTTGTGTCAAATTTACTGTGGGCAAGATAAGAATAATGATTTTCTGATTAAAAGTCTTCTGTCGCGTGACTTCACATCTCTGATCTTGATAATACAATACCAGGCCTGATGTCATGGACCATGCCCTTCTTCGACCAGGAAGATTTGGGATACCTCAATATGTCCCTCTTCCCAATTCGTATGAGCGTGGTTTAATCTTGACAGCTCTTGGTAGGAAGAAGCGAATAGATGCCAATGTGGACTTGATGGCAATTGGAAGTGATAGTGCTTGTAAAAATTTCAGTGGAGCCGACCTATCTGCTTTGGTTTGTGTGTGCTTTATTGTTTTCTTCAGTTGGTAATGATATTTTAGCGAAACTTATCTTGATTAATTAAAATAAACAATTGCAAGTAGTTGGATGGTTCATAATTGTTTGATATGAGTAATTGGTCTTAGTTAAAGCCTACATGACGGATGGCGAAAAAATGCCTTGATTCAGTTCAAGACATTTTGTGAACATAAATAAGTCATCCGAAAGAAACTAGGACTTGAATGAACATAGCTTGAGTGAGAAAATGGGATTTTCATTCTATCTCTTTTTCTCTTGCTGTAAATGCTCATACCTTATAATGATTATTCTCAAGCTTTGCTATTTTTTTTTATGTCAGATGAATGTAGCTGCTATGGAAGTTGTTAAGGACAACTGGAATTCGAGGAACGAAATTTCAGATGCTACACCATGGACCATCAAAGAAATACACTTCAAGCGGGCATTAGAAAAAATGTCTCCATCTGTTTCGGATGCAGTATGAATTTTTATGAGACTTTATTTTGTTCTTGTAATATACCTCAAGGAAAACAACCGTAACTCAAACCGTGTTAATTTTTATGTTTGGTTGCAGCAAATAAGACACTATGAACTCTTGTCAAAAAGTTTCAAAGCTGCTTGAGGATGGACCTGCTCGAGAAATTTTGTGGTTTTGAAGAAGTCTTAAAATGTTTTTGATTTAGGAATTTCAGTGAATCTTCCATTTTTACATTCTTCTTGATGAAGCTTTAGAAGTAAGTTTTATTAAGGTTGTCCAGTGCATTATGTATGTCGAAAATAGTAACACTGCCTCAGTCATCAACGGATTGTTATATTTATTTTAAAGTATGTTATGGACTAGTAAAGCTTACATGTTTGCTAAGGGATATTGATATGTTTCATGACTTTTATCATATGGGGCTATGTTCTGCTGTTTAGTCTGTCTCTATAAAGCAGTAGTTCAGGGTTTTATGTGTGGATATTTCATATCCCCAGACTGCAAGAGGTTTTATTGCCTGTTTTTTTTCCCTCCTTTGGGGTTGTAGATCAAAACGCCTGTCTTGTTTGTTGCACGTTGTGTGTGTGGAGTATTTATGAAATTTGGGTGTAAGGCGGGGCTTTATTTAATTATTACAAATTTCTATTTGAAGGCTTATAAAGCCTAAGCCTTTGGGTAGTTACTGGTATCATGTTATGAATTTCATCGAATTGTGGATTTGGTGGTTTAAAGAGAGCAGCAATCTTCTTTCATCAAAGCTGGAAAGACGCTCTCTTTTGGAAGGGTTGAAAACATGATCTCCTTGTCTTGTAATTTTGCTCACGATTTTTCATAGACGCTAATAAGATAATCTATTCATAGTTCTCTGTTGGCGTTCGTGTTTTTAAAGGTTGTGTAAGGTTCACAGTTCTCCTCCCTGGCTACCACTATTGTAATCATGAGTGTAATGATGAATTCAACAATATTATGCAAATTTGAAGCAATAAATCTATGTGAGAAAGCCTATAGTATGATTTTACCTAATTATCAACAATGTTTCTCATTTATATAATTACATCTAATCAATATTTCCAAGTTTGTAAGCTAAAACCCTAATTTAATTCTACTCTCTCTAGAGTTTCTAGTAAAAACTATTTCTATATTTCAATTTCAATATCTTTATTACGAGTTAAAATCTTGAAATTATCAAGTTCATGTGGAATAAACTTTAAAGATTTTATACTTTCTTTTAAAATCTATAAAATCTAGATTGTGTTATTTTTATTTCACACCTAAATTTCCCTCTCTTAAGTATCGAAATTTGAAGTATCAAATTATTCAATTATTGATCAGGTAATTGAAAGTATTAAACTAATAACACAAATAAACTTCAATAGAAAACTGGAAAGAGATAACTAATATAAAATCAAAACATGGTCTCAACTTATGGTTACATCAAACCATAGATTAAGAATTTAGTTCATGAATGAAAAATCAAATTCAACATCAAGAACATGGAGAAGAAAAGAAATAAAATATGAGTTCCTTACTGTAGTGGGTGGCATTTAGGCGCCATTGTGGTAACGCCTAAGCGCTACTCTTTGGTGTAACTCCTTTTTTCTTTAACTTAGCCACTTTTTTCACATCTTTTGCATGGTTTCTATTACTAGTCAATACATAAAGGTCCACTTGGAGACCTCTCAAGCACCCAAGAATCGGTACAAAGGGATTAATGTCCAAAGCTGTTAAACGAAGTGTCGAGGTTGTTGCACTAAGTTCTTCCGAAGTGGTTCGCCTTTTATTGCCGAACTACTCTACAATCTGAAGTCCTTGGCAAACAGAAAAGGGTCGGACAAGCAAGTCTCCAGAGTTGACTGATGTGACATGCGCAACTTAGCCTAGTTTATAGAGTGGCTGACCTCTTGTCAAAAGTCTATCAATATAAGTAATGTGAAGCAGAGTTGATATAACAGTTAGGGTCGCAGATCAGGCCTTGTGGATTCAATTCTACAGTGACCATGTCGACCTGATCACTATAAATAGGCAATTCTTGTGCCAATTGAAAGATCTTGGAAATAATATAGAGAGGGAAATACAATACTTGCGTTGTCTACTATTCACCTTTTCCCACAAGTCTAATTATTTTACAGTTAATACATTACGAAGTACGACCACGTGCAAATTGTCTTGTAACGACACCTGTTGACCATTTTCGAAGGTCAACAGATTGACGCCGTTTGTGGGAAGCTTGGAACAGCTAAACCACGAAAATCCTATTGAAAAAAGAATCTGAGTTTTTAGAAAAAAGCCAAGGAGGTGAATCTTTGAGAAAAAACGGAATGCCCTTAGGGAAGAAGGGTACGATGCACATATCCCAAATAAAACATTCGTACACAAAAAAGGATTTTGGAAAGATAAACATGAGCACTAGTGAAGAAGAACCCGCTCCTTGAAGAACGAGATAACATCCTAAAGAAGGAGAACCTTGGCACATTACCCCAACATCTCGCCACCAATTTCAACAACCAAGCAGACAAGGTAGCTCACGTGGCAAGACTCAGCGAGGTTTTGGGTTAACTGCTAGGCTCACTAGGAAAGTAGCCACTATGATTGAGAACATGAGAAATATTACTCAGCAGAATCTTGCCAAGCATGAACCACTGAGGAACATGCAGGTTCAAGGAGGGTATCCAATCCCACCATATGCTCCCCAGGAGAATACTTCCATGCAAGGCCATTATTATGGAGGTAACAATGAGGTTCATAGGCAGGGGACTAGATGCCAGCAATATCCAAAAGAAGACAAGCCTCATGAAAGAGAAGTGGGAGTAGATACCTCAACAAATTACGTTTCAGACCAATATACTGAGGCTCTCGTCAATTTCCCACCAGAATACAACCCAAGAAATTCGGATAGAAGGTCGGTAAGTGTTTTTGACAGATTAAGCCAGAGGCAACCCCCTAACAGGCGTGACCAATGCCCAGCGCCTAGAGATAGGTAGCAAGAAGGGCCTCGGTTAGGAGTGCCCAATGACCGTATGGAAGGAAATGCCGACCCCTCTAGAAGTAGGCGAGAAAGGAGAGCAGAACAAGCACAGCAGCGAACAGAATAGTCTCAACTGCCTGTAGAAGCCCCCGACATAGGAGAAGGCAACTCCGACGAACCATAGAGATCTTGCAACCTCGACTATGACGATGAAAACTTACCATTTCACAAGAAATAAAAAATGATCCAATGCTGAACCACTTTACACTACCTAAAATACCTAAGTACGATGAAAGAGAAGACCCTGCAAAATACCTGAATAGCTTCAAAACCCACATGGGACTTAGGGGTACAACACCGGCAATGAAGTGTAGAGCTTTCTACCTATCGCTTAGCGGTGCAACTGAAGTATGTTACACTAGGCTTGGAGCCGGAAGCATACGAAGTTGGCCAGATTTTAAGAAGGCTTTTCTTAAGTGCTTCACCGCAAGCAAAGAAGGTAAAAGACCAATTGAGCGGTTGCAGGATATGAGGCAACAACCAGGGGAGTCACTCAAGAGCTTCCTAAACCATTTCACCGATGAGATGACCTACTGTGTACTGTCACTGACTGCTTTAAAAGGTAGGCTACACATGAATTCTCTCTTTTGGAGGGATGTGCAGAACAAAGACCCTGCAAATTATGACACCTTGCTAGAAATGATTCGGCGAGAGATCATCAATGAAGAATTGAGGGATCACCGTAACAGGGCAAATCAGGGGCTCCCACCTCCACAAATGCGAATAGGAAAAGGCCCGACGTCACATCTGATTGACCAGCAAGCTGGACCCTCCACCTCTCTTAATCTAGCTCAGGAACTAGTAGTGGCAACACTCAATGCCTTCCCAACTCTGGCTTATGAAGAAGTGAATCCCAACACCAAGGTATACCAGGAAAGAGTATCTCAACGACCCTCTCGGGGACAAGGAGGGAGAGGACAAAGCACTCAACCTAGAATTAGGAATGAGGCCCTTCCATATTATACCTATCATCAGTCCTACAGTCATAAATACAGCGAGATGCTGGGACATAGCCAGACACCCATCCAGCCAATAAAGAAATGAACGTCGGGAGAACGATGCTCCCAGATAGGGTCAGGAGAGAAGAAATAATTCGAACAGACCCAGCAAAAATACTCCCAAGGACGACGTGACAATCATGTCGGGCCTAAAGAAGGTCGCAGGCATCGAATGAGCCTTTCCCCAAATGCTAGACATGAAACCATCCGGGAAATTGACATTATATTCGAAGGGCCATATGTAGGTGGCGAGACAAGGAATGCCCAAAGAAACTACGCCACGGAAGCCAATGACCCTCCAATGGCTAGCTTTATAGTCAACAGCGGCCAAGGCCTCAATGATAAAATGATTTAGTCCATCACATTCACCCGAACGATGCTGTTGGGATATACTACCCTCATTGCGACGCCCTAGTTGTAAGGACGGTAGTGGCCAGAAATGGCCTCAAAAGAATGTTGGTAGACAATGGAAGTTTGGTTAATATAATATATGGGTCCATTTACGACAAAATGGAGATTGACCATGAGCTAACACCAGTGAATTCTCCACTTTACGGGTTCACAAGAGACAACATCCTTTCCCTGGGAAAGATCACTTTAGCAACAGAAATGGGAGTAGCGCCCCTCATGGCCCACCACTTCATGGAATTTCTAGTGGTGGATCATCATTCAGCGTATCATGGAGTACTGGGAAGATCTACCTTGAAAGAGCTATGGGAAATAACCTCCATTCACCACATCTGCATGAAGTTTCCCACTGAACGGGGCGTTGCTGTTGTCAGAGGCGACCAACGAAGCACCAGGAAATGTTATTCTAGCTTTGTGAAAAAATAATTTACCCACTATTAATGTCATATTAATGGAAATTGATGAGGTCGATGACCCTGTATAAGGAGAAGATGTCGACATGGTCGACGCTTCTGAAGAAGAGGCCGTGGAAATTCATAACACCATAGAAGAAGGGATGGGGTCTACAGAAGTCCCTCAGATTGACGAACTGGACCCTTACATAATTAAGGATGAGCCCCAAACGGCTCCAATGGAAGAACTGGAAAACTTTGATGTAAGCTCACCGACCTCACCCAAATTTCTACAGGTCGACAAGAACTTACCCCATGCCTTGAAAAAAAAAACTCTAGAACTTCCTGCAAAGTAAGTTGGATGTGTTTCCATAGAAACATAAAGACATGGTTAGAATAGATCCGAAGATTAGTTACCACTACTTAAAGATCAGCCCCAACTCAAGTCCCCATCGGCCAAAGAGAAGAGCTCTGAACCTAGAAAGGTACGAAGCCTTGAAAGACGAGGTGCAAAGATGATCACTAATCAGGTTATTAGGGAGTTAATCTATCCAAGGTGGGTGTCCAACCCAGTGTTGGTCAAGAAACACAA